CTCCCCCCGCCCAGGCGCCTCCTCCCGCCCCGGGGCCTCGGGCCAGCAACGGCCTCGCGGCGTTCGCTACTCGGGCTGTAGTGAGCATGCGCGCGGCAACGGGCGGGCTGCTGCCCTCGCTCTGCCCGGGCGTGCGGTCAGAGCGCCTCGTTGTGCCCGCAGAGCATGGGGAGGGGCTGGCAGGATTGGGCCCACGCGGGAGTGTCCGATCCATGTCTCACCACAGCCCCGCGGGCCCTCCCTCAGGCAAGAACTGGGGTGAGATGAGGTGCCCCCGGTCCCATTTCTCCTCCCGAGCTACCTTGTGGAGCTGCCGCGTTGTGGTTTTGGGGAGCAGGGTCTCTGCGTGGCACATCCACTGGAGAACAGTTGTGCATGCAGAAAGGAACGGTACCAGCGGCCAAAGAGCCTGGGCCTCCAGCCGCGATGGTTTTAAACCAGCGTCGCGCCTGATTTCAGCGGCGTTACGCCTGGCTTGCCGCAGGGCGAGCAGAGAAACAAGCCAAAGCTCTCGCGGGGAGATTAGAAGTCTGTGGGCAGGTTAATCCTTTGCATATAAATTGTGGCAGCCCCCACTGAATTTAAGCCAAAGCACTGGAGTTACATCAGAGATTATTCCAGTACTTACTTTTTGCCAAGGCTGTGCCCTAGCACCTTTAGGCTTGGCAGTTCATAGCCCTTGTACCTCTGGGCTTGCTGCGTCAGTTATAAATGTAAAAATTGCTTGAGCCCCAGCACCTCTTTCATTACAAATTAAGCCCTGGTTTACTCCCAGTGCTTCTTACAAGTTGCAACATGTATTATTATGGCTAGCTGGCTGCTCTCCAGCCTGTAATACTCCATATAGAAAGTGTGTGCAATGGCAACTGTCTGATTGAATGCTAATGGCTTATTTCTACAGGGAGAGACAAGAAAATCTCTGTCTAAACCATCTGGTCTCTGAAAGGTTCACTTTCTGTGGGAATTTTTGTTTTTGGATTGAGTCTAGTGAACTCCATTCCCTTCTGTTTATGGGATAAACTGCGGCTTTCTCCACCACCAGAAAGCCCAGAACCAGTGGAACCAGATTGATGTGTTACTGGTTCATTGATTTTTAAAGGGGTAACCTACTTTAATGATTAAATTAATGATGAAAATGACGAGTATTTCAAATGCTCTGTCATGCAGAATCCTCATTCACTTCAGCTGAAATTCCATATTTCATATATGATCCTAACAAGACAGTTAACCTACCTTTTTTGTCTGTTGGATTTTAGCATCTAGTAGAAGGCATGGATGATGTCTGCCTCAGTGCCCCTGCTTTTGTTTGTAAATATTCTCCAGTTCAACGGTACATGATTTGATCAGAAGGGCTTCTTCCTAGCAAGATTAGTCTACAGTCTGTCAAGACCTTAGCATAGACATTTTTCTGATGTTCAGACTAAAATGGAAATATGCTGTCCTGGAAAGCTTATTTGGGATTTGCACCTGAAGTAAGAATATTATCCTATTTCACAAAGCTCCTCTAGAAAATGGGAGCAGTCAGTCCCATATTGTTAGATGCAGTACACATGTAATAAAATACAGATTCTGCTACAAAAAGTTTATACTCTGAGCATCTGGTAAGATAAAACAACTAAACAGAGAGGAAGGTTGGGAAGTACAAAGTAACAATGTCTCCCCCACTCTCCCTAAAGGGCACTTCAGAAGTGGGAGGATTGGAGCTGGAGCAGTCCCAGATAAGGAGTGGAAGGGGGCTCCCGAAGCCAGCCCCTTTAACCTGCCTGGTGACTTTTTTTGTATGGTTTTCTGAGAAGCAATCCCATTCCAGGCACATCCCATTTTCTTGGCACAACCAAACCCCCACCTTGCTTTATGTTCTAGTAAGAGGAATCTGTATACCAAATTTGGTGGTCCTAGCTCTTACTGTTTAGGAGGAGTTCTTGAACAAACAGATAGACAAACTCTTTCAAATATATAGCAGATTGTTCTTATAAGCAGAAAGTTTATTTTATAAATAATTACTGCTTAATATGGGGGTGGTATGAAATAATTTTGTCAATATCACTTTTCACAGCAGTGAATTATAAATTACTTTCTTTTTGCTGATCTCAGTGTTCTGATTGGTCTGTGGTTTAATTCGCTCTTCAGCTGCTGAACAATCAAGCCCTCTAATGTTGTCTCAGTTCCACCTGTTTAGTCTCAAGACTACAAACCTGCAAGCACAATACTACAATCCTAAAAGTCCCATCTCCTTAAAGTAGTGATAATACAACAATATATTTTATTTAGGAATGATTGCTGCATTATACATTTACAGTACTTTTTAAAGTAAATACACTACATTGCCGAGGTAGTGTAACTTTCTAAAACAGTAGATTTAAGTTATATATTCTATAGCAACTGCTCTCTTTTTTGAGCATGTATTCACAATCCACATGTAATAATAAACATGTAACTCTTTGAGAATCACTGCATTAAATCTTATTTAAATGTTTTATGATTCAGTTATAAACATCAAACACATATGGAAATACTTAAACAATATTGCTTTATTTATGTTGCATCATGGGTGAAAGCTGTAACTCTCTTTGTATATGGTATGCAAGCATTCTGGACAGTATTTAACAAAGAACAGCAGACCTCAATGCTAGTGGTTACATGTTGGAAAGAAACTAGTCTTTAGAATGTCTGTGGTTCCCCCGAATGGTATTACACTTAGCCAGTATAAAGGAAGCTTTAAAAGTAATGATTGAAGGAGTGCTTGTGGTACAGTGTAATTGCTACCCTAATTTTGAGCCCAGTCCTGTCACTCTAGCTCACACAAGTTGATGTTCTCAAAGAATATTTTAAATGAGTAAAGGTTGCAAGATCAGGCCTTTTATCTAGAATTTTTGTTTGCTTTTTTAAAAACTGGAAGGAAACAAAAGGACCAAAGAAACAACAAGAAACAGCTGCACCTCAAGGATTTTGTTTTAACACCTTTTATCTGTTGGTGATTTGGGCATTAATCCAGAACACCACTAACCTACATTCAAAGTGATTGTCAGTAAAGTTCCCTACAAGGATGCAGCATATTTTTAAATACAGAAGAGAAAAAAAATGACATTGTGCACCAACTTGAATTTACATTGTAAAAAAAACTCAGATAAACTATTCATAACTGAAAGGTTGCTTTAGTTCTGTAGTTCATCCACCAATGTTGTAGGTGACATGAACATCTGTGTGGCAGGAATAAACAATAGCTCATTCAGAAATGAGCTGTAAACATTCAAGTATCACCAGGGCATTGCACAGAGAGCACAAAGGGGCATGCGCATTCCTAAAGCCATGGGCAGGAGTTGCAAGGGGTCAGCAAGCAGCCACCGGGGACAGATTCCCTGGGTGTCCAAGAATATGAGAAGGGGGGGGGGGAGGCTCACATCAGTAGCAGGGGTCTTCCCCCCCCCCCACACTCACCACCAGCAGTGGCGATGAAAGTGGAACAATGCAGCCGCAGCTTTCACTGCTCCGCTGGCTGTGTTTCTTGGGGGAGAGGTGGGACTGTCTCTGCACTCGCTGGCAGGAAATGGAGTGATGCGGCCTGGGGAGCACAACGAGCTGGGGCCACATTAGTCCACTTCCCCCGCCTCTGCCAGTGAGTGAGGGGGGACCCCCCCATAGTATCTCAGGCTGCATAGAGGCAGGGCAGGTATGAGAAGCAGGCAGAGCAGGAGCAGGGAAAGGTGGGGCTTGGGATGGAAGTGAGGTTGTCCCAGGTTGTCACATGGTCTGAGGGGCCGGTCATGTGGATGGTGGCTCTCCAGGTCCTCCCTCACCAGTCACCCATGGGTATCATTATATATTAGACCTGCCTGATTCTATCACTCCTACATTAAGTACTTGACTTCCTGAATAGTCTCATTGAAAAATCAGGGATTAAGCTACTACAAGTGTAAGTAAGCATCACAGAATCAGGCCCACAATAAGCAATAGTTACAAAACCAGACTACTTTCTTTTTAGTAACCCAAGGCCACCAACCCCAAAACACAGCTTTTTCTTTTCTTAATGGGAAAAGAAAAAGCCCTCTTAACCTTTGATAGGTTCAGTGGGCCAGATTCTGTTTTTGTCATTAGGGGGTAGCTGCAATGACTCAAATGTTCTAGATTTGAACAAGCACTTTCAAAATCTGGCACACTGAAAATAGCTTAATATAGCATTACCCAATGGAGATCCCATTACATAACTATTGTATCACAGGGATTATGGGCCAAATTTTGCCTTCATAAACACCCATGCAAACATTGCACTCACTGGAAACACTAAGATGATGTACTGAACTCGAGGGCATAATTTGGTCCTGTGTATTACTTTTTAAGCACAAGATTCTGTTAAAATCTCTTTAAAGCCAATATGTTTGTATACTTATTTGAAAGTGATTCACCATTAGAGCTGTGTGAAACAGAAACCACACAAAACTCTTGTTACTTGTTTTGGGTTCATTAAGAATCAGGGTCATGACCTGATCCAAAGTCACTGAAGCCAATAAGAGTTTTTACATTGCCTTCAACGATCAGGTCCCACTTCCTGTTCATATTAACTCCAGGGGAAGCCTTGTGAGCCCTAGAAAGTTAATCCATCTGGGTCAACATGTTCACTGAGGCTTGTCAATCTTTTGAGGGAATCTACGGCCAATACGAGTTTGCATAAAAAGAAAAGCCTGGGCTTTGTTGTAAGTTTGATCAGGTTTCTCAATATGTTTTACTGTTTATTTGAACAAGAATCACCATCATAATTAAACATGAACTGAAACAGGAGAACAGGCTTGCACAATCCCCTGCTAAGTTTCACATGGCTCCAGTCACAATCCAAGTCAAATTCAAAATAATATTGATTGACTACATTTTACAGCATCAAAAGAATCAGAAGCCTAATACATTTTTTCATATGTCAGAGTCAAATCTTGCTTGCCTAACTCAAGTGAGCAGCCACATTGGCATCAGTGGGACCATTTGAATGGACGTCTGAGATGGCTCCCATTGAATTCAACTCACACTGACTTCCATAGAGTAGAATCAGCCTGCACAGACAAGCAGGATATGGTCACCAGGGCTTAAACATGCAGCCCATGTCATACGTGGCTTCATGGCTGCAGGATTGGGCTCTCACAAACATGTATCTTGCCTTATTTATACCAACAATATACAATGAAATCCAACACAGCTCTATAAATGGTCCTCAAAATACAGATTTATAGGGAATCGGTTGGGAGTGCACACTTAGGTTGCACAGTCCTGTAATATACCCTTTTTCTCTGGAAAGTGATGAGGATGATGAAGATTAATATTGTGATCAGAAGAACAAGGCCAATGGAAAAAAGTGCTATGAGCACTGAGTTTGCTTCTCTTGCACCCAGAGTTTTGCCTAAGAAGTTGATTCCTTTTTGATCACCATCTGCCAAAAGAAAAAGTACCATGTAAGTAATCCATACATCCACCTGCTGAAGTTTATATTATTTAAATAAAAGAGATCCATACCCTTTACAGGAGCCTTGTGTTTTACAGTAATTGTGTCATATGCTGTAGCGGTTACTCCTCCTTTTAAAGGAACTGTGTTGTCTGTGTAAAACAATTAAAGCTTACTTAGGCTGAAAACTGTACAAAGAAGCAGATTTCATAATCTGAGAAAACAGTGAATACATCAATTATTCTACCTGGGTAATGTGCAGAGATTGCCAGTAGATTAAGGGCAAAATTTCCCTTTCTTATAAACAACAGAGATCTCTGTCGCATTAGTTCTGCATGCTTTCACTCATATCAATAGAAGTTTCAAACCCAGAATAAGTGCAAATTACAGAACAGATTCACAGTGAACCATGAAGGATAATTTCAGTTTAACCTTACAATTGCTATGGTCGAAATCCATTGTATTCCTCCTCCTTCTACAGAGGAGGGGTGAAGCAGCCACTGAATGTGCTGTAGCAGCTGTGGAGCATCTGTATTTATTACCTTACTTGTGGACAGGGTGTGCCCAATAAACGTATTTCCTTGCAAGAATGTGTCTCCTGAGAAGAGTTTATAAAGTTTTTACCAGCATTGAAATGAAAATATTCTCTGCATGTTAGATTTCCAAATGACTTGATGTGAAAAGTTCTCAAGCATAACATAAATTAAATGGACTTGCTTTTGCATTGTATTAAATGGACTTGCTCACAATTTCCACTAAAACCAATGATCACTGTTGACTGATAGGACTGGGTCAATATCTGTGTATAATTTTTTTCATCACCCTCCACAGAAGCCATTCCAACTCAAATAGTATCGTTTTTTACTTCACTTTTTCTAATTTTTTATTGTATTAAAGCCTTTAAAAAGCAGACAGCTTTTCTTTAGAGCAGTGTTTCTCAAAGTGGTCATGAAACCTCTTTGAGAAACCTGTTCACTGGCTGTGCCGGTTTGTTTACTTACCAGCACTGCAGCAGCAGATCCTCGCAGCTCCTATTGGTCTGCTACACCGTTTTCAGCTAAATCTTTTTATTCTGAAATGCTGCTATGTTGTTTCATGAAAATTGTTGTCCAGGTGCTTCAAGCTTCTCTTCTCTATGAGTGGGTTCCCCTGCCAGACTTCATCTCCCATGCTGTATCATGGCAATGTGATTTCCATGAGACACTGCCTCCCCTTACTTAAAAGGGAGACCAAAGTGCTTCATGGAATATATAGTTTAACCAAGGAGTCCAGCATACAGAGGATGAGAAGATGAGGCATTTTATAATTGAAATATTTTGGTGTAGGAACAAATGAGTATCAGATTACTTGCCCCAAAATTGAACCTTTTCACTGAGGAGGGGGTACGAGAAAGGGAAAGGGCAGAAAGCAAACATTTTCTAGATATATCTCTGCTCTGAGAATATAGCTCTAAAATAGTGTTTCTCAAAGTGATCCACAAAACCACTTTGAGAACTTGTTAATTGGCCATGCCAGGTTGTTTACTTACCGGCACTGCGGCCACGAAGCTTCGTGGCTCCTATTAACTCAGTTTTGCCATTTGCAGCCACGGGAAGTGGAGTGGGCCAGTCTGCTATTTCCCGCACCTCCCCTTAGCACCCACATCGCCAAGTGACTTCAATTCTTGTGGCGCTTCAAGAGGTTTAAAATTTGCAGAGAGCAGCAGTGACCACACTCTCTGCATTGTGGTGTAGGTCCACTCCCAGGAACCAGAAATTGGTGAAGCACAGAAGTATTCTGTAATTTAAATATCCCTACACCAGTAATGCTGGCTTTAGCCTTACGCTTCTTTCCATCTGTCATTTATTCCCAACTGTAATACAAGTGCACAGTCCTAAAATGGCATTTTCAAATACTATACCTGATTTGCTGATGGTAAAAGTTGTCTCCATGCCACCATGAATGTGGTCAGCTACATGACAGTGCAGAAGCCAGGTTCCAGGGTTATCTGCTCTGAGTTCAATTGTTTGAAATGTCCCAGGGAAAAGGTCATACACATCTGCTCTGTGATCCTTATCTGTCTGGGACAAGACAAAACAGCATTCTGAAGATTTCCAAGGACATTATTAATATTGCTAATGTAGCACCCGAAATCGTTTGTATTAATTTGTGTTGCCCCAGGGGTTCATCCCCCACTGGACTAGGCATTGTACAAACATATAACAAGGAAGGGGGCCCTGCTCCAAAAAGTTTACAGTTTAGTAAGAACATGAATGAGTTGTTCTCAGGTAGGGTACGTCTAGACTACATGCCTCTGATGACAGAGGCATGTAGATTAGGCTACCGGGCATAGTAAAATGAAGCGGCGATTTAAATAATCGCCGCTTCATTTAAATTTACATGGCTGCCGCGCTGAGCCGACAAACAGCTGATCAGCTGTTTGTCGGCTCAGCGCGGCAGCCATGTAAATTTAAATGAAGCGGCGATTATTTAAATCGCCGCTTCATTTTACTATGCCCGGTAGCCTAATCTACATGCCTCTGTCATCAGAGGCATGTAGTCTAGACGTACCCTACCTGAGAACAACTCATTCATGTTCTTACTAAACTGTAAACTTTTTGGAGCAGGGCCCCCTTCCTTGTTATATGTTTGTACAATGCCTAGTCCAGTGGGGGATGAACCCCTGGGGCAACACAAATTAATACAAACGATTTCGGGTGCTACATTAGCAATATTAATAATGTCCTAAAACACCACACAATGTTCTTTGTTTTAAACCAAGGTCTTTAAATAGTTTTTTCAATGCAAAGATACAGAACATGGGTCTTAACTAAACCCTAGAATAAGCTGGTGAAATTTCCACTGACTTCAATTTGTGTAAACCATTCTCTAATTGTCCTGTATTACATACACACCTTACCTACTGATATTCATTTATATTTTACCCTACCAAGTCAGATGAACCATGAGCTTTACAAATTCTAACTAATTTTGCAGCATACACATGCACAACTCCCACTGATGACAGTATATGTGGATGTTAAAAGGCTGTGGGACCAGGCAAGAAGCTAGACATTTTTGCAAAAATGTCCCAACAAGATTTAAAGATTTTACTTCATTTTCACCAACCTTGAAGATGAATGTCTCCCCATGAAAATGGACTGTGTGGATGTCAATTTCATTTCCCATTCCTATCAAGTACCAGTTTGTGTTTGCACCTTCTTTCATTGTTAGTCCCTGGAGATTGTCATAGACCTTCCCATTAATTGCTGAAAGAATTACAAAGTGAGAGTGATTCACACTAGTGAACTAAATGCATCCAGTAAAGAAACAAGAGTGCTGAGGGTGCTGAAGAGAAACACAAGTACCTTGTTCTTGCTTTCTCTTTGCAGAGATCAAGAACTAATGCCATGTCTCATTATTTACATCAGTGCAAAGTGAATTAAATAAGGAAGTAAAATATTACCAAATAAGACTCCTATCTTCATTTAGTGATAGAAATGTAGCCGTGTTAGTCTGAAATAAAATACAGGACTATGTAGCACTTTAAAGATCACCTAATAAACCATCTTGTTAGTCTTTAAAGTGCTACATAGTCCTGTATTTTGTTTCATCTTCATTTAGGTCACTGGTAGGGTTTTATACACACTATGCTCTAATTGGGCCTGATTCACCACTGTATTACTCCAGTTTTACACCAATGTAAGTCCACGAAAATCCAGGGGAGTTATTCAGCACAAAACAAGTAACAAAGTGGTAAATCAGGCTCACTTTACAAATAGTGCAATAGCTGCTCAAGAAATGAGAAGAAAGAGAATCAAACTCAGATCTTTAAATGTGAAGGATTCCTGAAGTTGTTGTTCACATCTCAAAGGTTACAGGCAAAGAGACAACGCAGTTTGCATTTTAGTTTCAACACAGCACCATAAGTAGTTTATATTCCTTGCAATACATCAGTTTTAAAGTGCTGAGTGAATGGGCTTTATGCAGGGGCTCTACATGCGAGTAGTGGGGATGGATGCAATCCCACTCCAACTAGCTACATGTGCAGAAACACAAACTTGGTTTTTCAATGGCTGCTACTTCAGCATCCAGTCTGTTCTCTCCCTCACCTAGCAGTCTAGTCAGTGGGTTCTTGACACTTGGTTCCCAGATCCCAAACTTCATGACAATGCTGTTGCAAAGTGTGCCAACATGGAGCACATGTAGTGACAAGAGGTTGTAGAATGGTCTCTTCACATTCACTGGTAGTTTGGCTGATTTTTCCAGCTTCTGCACTCACACAAAAGTGATGGAGGAGGATTTGGCCCTTAAATAAGAGCTACAAAGCAAAGTTAATGAGTGACCCAACACCACCTGTCAGGGTCTTGAGCCATTCAGCACATTAACGAAATATAAACTAACTCTTAAGAAAACGCGTTTCAAGGTTCCCCAAAGTCTGCCGACTGATTCCAGTTTTGTTGTTGATGCCTAGAATTCACCCTTGTTCACTAATAACCATCCAGCTCACTAATTAGCTAGCCTACTATGTTTGTGAAGACTGTACTGCCAGATTATACATTTCCAAGCCAATCTGACTGTCTTTTGAAAGGACTGTATTTAAAAAAAAAAAAAAAGAATCATCAGTCTCTTGTTGCTGCTGCCACCACCTACATACCGTGCATGATGTTACTCTCCAGAAAGTCCGCGGTGTAATTAAAGTAATTAGGAAACTTATGAAGATACTTTTCAATATTTTCATTCAAGTACCAGGACTCGTTTTCATCAAAGACCAGGAACAGAAGAGCAAATTCACTATCAATATCTTTCCTTAAACCTTTTTCATTTAGTATTCCTTTTCTGCAAACTACCAGCGGCCCAATCAAACCACTGTGTGTGTCCTGCAATTAAATTAAAAAGAGACATTATACACATTACATAACATTGCTTTTAACCATGACATTGAGCTACAGTTAAATTAATAATTATTGATGGTCCACATAATATAACTAAGAAATAAATACAGATAAAATATATACCATTAAGAGTTGAAACTTATATTTTCTAATGGGATAAAGAAATGATTTACAGTGAAAATGCTTCCTGGAGAAGTTCAAGAATTATATTTTACAAATAGTCAGGACTGCAACATAGTTTTCTATTATAAACTCATATTTCCAGTTTACGTTGGTTATAGAAAATCTTTTAAATAATAGGTATAAAATTAGTTATTTCAACTACAGGAGTTTAGCTGCCACCATCTTGTAAAAAGTAAACGAAAAATTTCCTGACTGTAGAGTTTCTGTTCCTCCCACACAAAGTGGAAGATAAATTTTTCTACTACCAAGTTTTTACTATCCAATTTTGTTTCAATTCAGCGTGCAAATGGGATAGCTAAGCAAGATGGAGGTATCTGCATGTGGAGCACACTTCAGTTCAAATGGATTAAAGGTTTATCTACACTGCAATTAGAGGTATGACTGCAGCACACCTACACACACCTGAGCAAGCTAGCTCAAATAACAATTACAGTGAAACTGTGGCAGCCCACTGGCTGTACGAACCCACCAAGGACACTGGGTGTGTACTCGAGCGGCTGCGCAGCTGTGGCATTGCTGCTATTGGCATTTGAGGCAGCCCAAGTTACAGTTAGCTTAGAGATGTCTATATGTGTTGCAGTCACATTTCTGACTGAAGACACACCCTAAGAGAAAGGATTTCACAAAAGCATTGGGAGATGCTGAGTCTGAAGAGACTTCATCAAATGCGGCCACTTCATCAAGGTGCCTAAACGAAATATGAGCTCTTTCAAAAATCTGACCCCTGCCACACTAGAGACTTTTGGTCTAGGTGATGAAAGTAGAACAGGGATTGTCTATACTAGGAATCCAAAGACATGACCACCTGATTAGTAATCTGTAAACTAGAACGCCTTCTTCGTCTCAGCAAGATCTATTCTGTATGCTATTTAAGTCTGACGGTTCCTGCATTTAGTTGACTAAAAAATCTAACTTGGTAACAATGACTTTCTACCTTTTAGCTTTTCATGTAGTAAAGCAAAGTCCCATCTGCAACCAAACTGCCATGAAATTTTCCTAGGGACCAAATTCAGCCCTAGCATAACTTCCCTGATTTCAATGAGCCAGGCTAGGGAATGAATTTGGCCTTACTCATGCATCATCAGCTGTAATCTTCAAACGCATTAATTATCAAGCCCTCTAAACCCTTCTAAGTCAGCTGTCCTCACTCAAGAAGTGAGTAAAGATTTGCAGGCTGCAGCCCCAGTTTAGGAAGTCATCCTTAAAATAAGATAACCTTTAGGTACTATTTTCCAATTACCTTGACAAAATTCACTGTTGAATAATAAACCCAACTGATGCAGTTTGGATCAGAGGTGCCTGGACCTGACCTTTCTGGGACATTCCATCTGTATGTATTTATTTCCCCTGAAACAGTAAAGAGGAAACAGTTTTACCAACAGTTGGATGTTATGAGTTTTAAAAATATAAGTCAGATCTATTGGTCTCATAATCAGAAATGTAGAGTCAAATGTGCATCATATGCATTGAGGAGAAACTATGTGATAATGGGATGAGGCCTGCGAAAATGAATTCTAATAATGATGCTGAATTCTAATTTTTATTAGAGGTTAAAAACAAACCGGAATATTCTTATCATGATTATGTAGCATGAAATAAGAACATAAGAATGGCCGTACTGGGTTTAGCCCATTAGCCTGTCTGCCAACAGTGGCCAGCACCAGGTGCCCCAGAGAGAGTGGACCAAAGACAATGATCAAGCAATTTGTCTCCTGCCATCCCTCTCCAGCCTCTGACAAACGGAGGACAGGGACACCATTTCTATCCCCTGGCTAATAGGCTTTTATGGATCTAACCTCAATGAAATTATCTAGCTTCTCTTTAAACTCTGTTATAGTCCTAGCCTTCACAGCCTCCTTTGGCAAGGAGTTCCACAGGTTGACGACGCGCTGTGTGAAGAAGAACTTTCTTTTATTAGACTCTTCACTATCTGTAAGTGGGGTAAAGTTTTGGTAAATCCCTTAGGTTTTATTGTTTTATGGTTTGGGAATGGGAATCTGGCATCTGTGCATTTTAAAAATGTGTTTTCCTCTCCTTTGTAACTAAGCTCTTGGCCCATGGGAGGTCCCCCCATGAGTATATTAATTGGTGACTTTTCCTTCTAGTCATTATGCTTGTAACAGGAGTATTGTGGTGATAATAAAAGTTCTTTCTCTTTCTTTTTTATTAACCTGATATTGGTTAATGGTTTTGTGTCCTGGTTTTACTGTAGGGCTGAGATTTCCCGAATGATCTCTCCCCTGGCTTTCTTATCATTACTTCGGTGGTGGCAGTGGATTTTTATCCCCAAAATCTAGGTTTTTAAGATTTTGGGGGGAAGTTTTATACCAAAGCCTAGGAAGAGAAGGTTTTGGGGTACTTTTGCGGGCCCCCACTTCTGCGTTCATCATGCCAGAGTGGGGAAAAAGCCTTGACACACCCTTATTGATTTCAGTGAGTTTGCCTAAATATGGGATCAAAAGAAAACAGAAATATGTTGTATAACAATTCCTGTGTTCAAGAGAGCTCTTCTACTCAAGCCTGATGTCTATTGCTTTTATGGGGCAGAATTTGCAGTTCTGCGTGCCCAGAGCAAAGTTGCTAAGTGTATATCTAGGCACATAATTTTAACGTTTGAGCCATTAGTAGTGTTAATTATTGTTTCTGAGTGTCCAGAAATGTCACAGAAACAAATGAAGACATATCGCTACCCAAATAAGCTTACACATTCTAGAGCCTTACTAAGAAGAACTTAGATAGACAGACAGAGATAGATAAATGTATAATTTACTGTGTCCAAAAAAGACATGTAACTATCTGTAAGTTTGAAAATAGAAATGTCATATACGATTTTTAAAAGAACTTCATATAAGATTGAAGGAGCTCTTCTGTTGCTAAAGAAAAAATGGTCATACTCACCTGGCATAGTGATTAGTGTTCCAGGTCTTTCTTCACTGCCCACTTCTTCTATGCCATGCGCAGTTATTGAATAGGGCCTGATACCTTTATTCTTAAATATAACCAGTATGGAGTCACCAACTTCTGCATGGATTAAGGGCCCTGATTGAAATCAACAAGCTATGGTGATTAATGATGCTCTTGATTTTGTCCAGAAGTCAGGTCAGAAATGGATATTTAATATTATTTTTACAAGTTGTAGAATTGACTAGTGCTTAACCTGGAAATTTATTTTGTGGCATGTCACTGCTGTTCATAATGAAAGGAAGGAGAGATCAGTATAAATCCACATGCCAAAAGGAGCTGTAAAGAGGCGTGCTAGCAGCCCCTTCAGTGATAGGTAAGGATGAACAATCATACAGTCTTACCAAACAAGAGAATAGTCACATAACCTGTGTCTATACTAGAGACCTTACGGCAGCACAGTTGTACAGATGTAGCCATGCAGCTGTAAGATTTCTTGTGTAGTTGCTCTATACCAACAGAAGAGAACTCTCCCATTAACATAATTAAACCACACCCCTGAGCAACATAAGTTTTGCCACAGAAAAATTGATCGGGGGCCACAAACAAACAAACAATCCAATAAATCCATTACACTACTTACTTGATCATCAATGTGGGAGGCAAAAAACCACAAAACCTACACCTCATTCTCACTTAACTTGGCACATGCCGTACTCCAGTCCTGCGGGGAGGAGGTCTGCACCGAGGCTTTGGGCTTTCGGCCTGCAGCGCAAGGACTTGCTGCAGGCCGGATCAAATTAAGTCAGGGGCTAGATCCAGCCCCGAAGCCATAGGTTTCCCTCCCCTGCTTTAAAGGGATGGGTAAATCTTAAAGCTGGCACTCTTATATGTGCTTCCAAATAAACTTCTTCCTATACTAGCCTAATTAGAAAATTATCTTTACTATCACTGATTAAAATCTGAAGTGATTTTGTGTGCAAAATCACTGAAAAATCTGGGACAGATACTTCTACAATACAATTGACACAGCCTGTTTGGTTTTGGTAAGAGATGCTCTCTTATATTTGGCATCCTTTGTGAGCTAAGAGATACTCACCTAAGATTGCCAAGTGTTCCTCCTGTGCTGATCTCACTTTGTGCTCTGTAAATTCTCCACTTGTGTATTCTCTGTAAACCACCTTCTCGTACTTTGATCCTATCCGATCTTCACCTGAGCTTACAAAAATTTCCCCATAACTGGAAATTAAACAGACAAAAGTTAAAAGTGCAAAAGACTGAACGATCTAAAGTGATAATGAAAGATTTAGTTTATGTATTACTTGCTGGGGAACACCTCTTTAGCATTCAAGTTAAGGCTTTTATTTCTGACAGGTGACAGATATGTGGCCATCTAGGACTTAGCCGCCTTTTACTGCAATAGCTTTACCTAACCAGTATTGGAACCTTCAGGGGGTAGCCAAGTTAGTCTGTACAGGATAAACTTAAAAACAACAAAACAGACCAACAAAACATGTAGATAGTATCATGAGCTTTTGTGGGCACATCCCACTTCTTCAGATGACCGAAGTTTCGCACAAAGAGCAATTCTGATACCAGCCAGAAGAGGGCAGTGATACACATTAGCCACCAGTGTTACATATTACAAATTTCTGACAAAAATGCCAGTACACATAAGTTCTCTTTTTGGAAATACCAATTATTCAATCCTCCTACTCCAGGCTGACACAGTCACAAACCCACCATCTTGGACCAAATACGAGGGGGAAGGGGAAGGGTAGATTGGCCTGCAGGGGGCATTCAAAAACAAACAGGAGATTGTCTTCATTTGCTGCATTGACCTTTTATTGCAGAGCTACCTGCAAGCTGCAATTTAAGAGGCATCTCTAGATTGGCTCATCGCATATTTTTTCAAAATGAAAGCAGAAAAATATACTTTTATAGTATATAAAATAGTTTTATACTTTGCATGAATGTACAAGAACAGCCGTTCATCTGACGTTGCTTGTAATCAAGGTCCTTGTTCTTGACTCTTTCTGGGATTCTTCTTCACTATTACATGACATATTGCCAATGATTCTCAAGAAAGCTCTCTTTGTTGGGTCTTTTTTTGTACTCTTCCCTTTTTTTTACTGGGTACATATCGCCAGAGTGACACATATTTCTGAAGTGATTAAGTTGCCAAGTTCAAAATCCCTTTTACGTTCTTTGGTGACTTAGATGTAAATGAGTATTGCACATAGATGTACCAGAAGGCACAATATGGCCCTATGCATACCCTGTCCTTCAACTCCTGAACACATTTTCAATTCCTTCCAGATTCCAAGTTTGCCTACGAAGCACAGTTCAGGAGAGCAGTTAAAATATGGTTTGGTTATGGCAATCCTGGAAGCCCAAACAGTATTTTAACCATGGGGGACCTACTGTGCTGCAAGGTAGGAATTCATTTTGCAGTAGCTAGGACCTGAGTGCCTTCCTCTTCAATAAGATCTTCTTTCTAGGCTAGGTCTACACTGCACCTCTCTTGCGCAAAAACCTATGCAAATGAAGCGTGGATTAGCATATTGCTGCACTTCATTTGCATAATTAGGGGCAGTTTTTGCGCAAGAGGCTTTTGAGCAAAAAGGAGCTGTGTGAACGGCTCCTTTTTGCGCAAAACCCCCCTCTTGCGCAAGAGCCATTCTTCCTGAAAAAATGAGGAAGAACAGCTCTTGCACAAGAGGGGTTTTTTTTGTGCAAAAAGGAGCCATCCACATAGCTCCTTTTTGCACAAAAGCCTCTTGTGCAAAAACAGCTCCTAATTAGTTATGCAAATTAAGCATGATAATATGCTAATCTGTGCTTCATCTGCATAGGCTTTTGCGCAAGAGAGGTGCAGTGTAGACATAGCCTAGGAGTGGCTGAGGAATTCTCATTTAACTGGGAGTTGAGAGTGCTCAGGATCTTACTGGCTAGAACTCTAAGGGCCTGATCCAAAGCCATTTGCAATAACAGTAATAGAATCTGGCCTTCAATAACACAGATTTTCCTGAATTCTCATACTTTGTAGCTCTAGTGCCGTGCCAGACTAACTTACCTGTCCAAGAGTATAAAGAACTGGGTAAAGCAAAGTACTTTGTGTGGCAAAACCAGCTTTAAAAGCTTTTTAAAAAATGGTTTACAGAAAAGGTAAATATTTTTCTTATTTCTAAGCATAAAAAGAAAAGAAGAGACAAGATGGGTGGGCCAGTAAAAGATATTACCTGACCCACCTGTGTCTCTTGTATCCTGAGACCAACACAGGCTACACACTGTGAACAGAAAAGGAGGCAAATAACTTACTTTGCTTTGAAAAGTTGGTTTACTTGCACTGTACCTGATTTCTATTTAGTGCTAATGTAAAATTACTTCCTGTATAGGTAAGCATTCATCTTGATTGTGTGTAATTCATAATGTTGTGTCTGATGCCGCATACTGAAGACATGCAACTTTACTCATCTGAGTCCCATTCTATTCAGCAACAGTGCTTATAGTAAGTAAAGTTACTGGTGTGTATAAGTGTTTGCAGGGTAAGACCTTTAAATTTCTCCTGGCTCAAGGTAAGTGAGTTGTTTATTCATACCCTCAAAGTCAAGCATCCAGGCAGCACTTGCCTATAAAATTAGCATTTGTGACAGAAGCCCAGAAACTGTCCCCTAAATAGATATAAAAGGATGTCATCTACTTAATAATCACTTTTCTGACTTGCCATTTTTACAAGACCTGTAACTCCTAAGGGGTATGTCTACACTACCCCGCTAGTTCGAACTAGCGGGGTAATGTAGGCATACCGCAATTGCAAATGAAGCTCGGGATTTGAATTTCCCGGGCTTCATTTGCATAAGCGGGGCGCCGCCATTTTTAAATCCCCGCTCGTTCGAACCCCGTGCCGCACGGCTACACGCGGCACGAACTAGGTAGTTCGAACTAGGCTTCCTACCGTTACTCCTCATTCCACCTTGCTCAAAAACCCCTTGCGCAAAAATGGCTCGAATAGATTATGCAAATGAAGCACAACAAAATGCTAATCAGCGCTTCATTTGTATACTCTCTGCTGCCAAAACCCAGCACTGTAGACAAATCCTTAGGCTACATCTACACTGCAGGCTTCTTGCGCAAGAACAACCGCCCTTGCGCAAAAACTTGCGGAGCATCTTCACTGCACACGCGTTCTTGCACAAGTAAATTTACAGCAAGGCTTCGGAACAGAGGGCTTCTTATGCAAGAGTTATTCCTCTCCCCACGAGGAATAAGCCCTCTTGTGCAAGAGTTCTTGCGCAAGAAGGCAGTGTGGATGGCCAGAAGGGTTTTTTTGCACAAGAAACACCTATGGCTAAAATGGCCATCAGAGCTTTCTTGTGCAAGAAAGCGTCCACACTGCCATGGATGCTCTTGCACAAATGCACATCTCTTGCGCAAAAGCCCATGGCAGTGTGGACGTGCTCTTGCACAAGACCTTTTGCACAAGAACTCTTGCACAAAACAGTTCTTGCGCAAGAAGCCTGCAGTGTAGATGTTCGACTTAGGAAAATGTGTATGCTTCAATCCCACTGAATTATCCTGGAGTTGTTAGATTTCTTTGCTTACACTCTTCTTCCCTGCATCCCTCCTATTGGGATATATACAGAATGGAGCGTGTGACAAGGTCACCTTGGGTACATCTAAACTACATGGCTCTGTCGACGGAGCCATGTAGATTAGTTTACTCGACAAAGGGAAATGAAGCGGCGATTTAAATAATTGCCGCTTCATTTAAATCAAAATGGCCGCAGCACTGGGCCAATCAGCTGTTTGTCGGCACAGCACGGCAGTCTAGACACGGATCTGCCCGCCCCAGAACCCTTTGTCGGCAGATCCTGTAAGCCTCATTTCACAAGGCATAAAGGATCTGCCAACTAAAGGTTCTGGGGTCGGCAGGTCCTCATCTAGACTGCCGTGGTATGCCAACAAACAGTTGATTGGCACAGCGTGGCGGCAATTTTAATTTAAACGAAGCGGCGATTATTTAAATCGCAGCTTCATTTCCGTTTGTCGTCCTGCCTCATCTGCATGGCTCCATTGATGGAGCCATGTAGTCTAGTCACACCCCTTGGGTCACATTTTCAACGAGCCTGGCACCTAACAGCTCTGCATATGAAGTGATCCCCTTTGTAGCTAAATGTGATACCAGTGCTGCTGGCTTAACACACGGCTACATGATATCACATTACTCCAGTGAAGTGTTTTATGATTAATACAGAGATCAACCTGCACATTGCCAGTTGCAGGAGCTGGGCCTTAGATTGTAACTCTTCTGGGCAGGGTCTGTCTCATGTCTTTGCTCAGTTTGTAGTACTGTGCAGCTTCAATCTGATGGTCTCTAGCCACTGACTAGTGAACAAAGAATAATGATATTGTGAAGATACTATACATTTTAAAAAAATGATTTATACATTTTAAGGCCACAAAGGATCATTATGAGGAACTAGTCTAAGCTACTGAATAACACCAGTCTTCAAATATTACCTGACAACTCCTGCATCAAAACCATAACTTTTGGTTGAGCTAAAGCCTCTTTTTTAAACAGCTATCCAATGACGAGAGCTCATATTGGTGCTGTTCCTATAATGGGGATGACACAGTACCCTGGATCCACCTCTTTGCTATATTTTGAAAAAGTTCAGATAAGAATCTGAATTCTGTACCCCATCCCAAGATTATAATGCACTGTACTATGAAACTCAAAGTGATATGGTATATTTAGCCACGAGATGCCACTGTTACACCCTCAAGGCTGTGTTTATCTAGCCATAGCTCAACAGAAAGGGCTCAGGGAAACAGGCGAAAGGGCACTGAAAAGAGAAATCCAAGGCCAAAACATTGCCAAGGAATCTAAAACCTCAGAAACAACAAATTACAAGAGAATCTCAGCCAAGGAACTGAGTTATAATTTAATATCTAAAATCATAGGATACTATATTCAAAAATGCCTATGTGAATCAGGAGATCCATTTTCAAAAATGACATAGGCACCTAATTCTTGTCGGAAGTAGGTATCTCACTACCTTTGAGAAGAAAAACTAGGTTCTTAAATATCTTTGATTATCTGGGTCTTAGAAACCTCCACGACACTGAATTTTGGTTCCTAAAACACTTACATTTGTGAAATTTTTACCCCCAAATCACTATTCAGTACAAAATAAATGTTTTTATTAAATTTCTTTGCAGAAAACAGCTGTTTTAGCAAACATCTAACACATTCCAAAAAGTACCAGCTAGCTTTTGTGAAACCCAAAACACTTTTAGCTTTCCCCATCACAGCATGTAAGTCATACACCTGGGAATACAATTTGCTGTGAATTTGACTTCAGTACCTTGCATCTTTGCCACTCAGAGCCCAGGTCTTATTAGGTGCATAATCCCATTCCACTTCTTCTGCAGCAATGTAATATGTTCTCATGGTTCCATAGGGCTGCCCAGGGCGAGCTGCACTGCTACAGCTGTTCACTTCATACAGCTGTTTCATTCCTGCCACAAAGTGATCAAACGTTCTGCAAACCACTTGAAAAACGCCTGCAAGGGAATGCAGGGGGATGTGTATAAAAGATTAAATGACAGGATTAAAGACAAAACCCATTCCTCACACATTAGTAACCTGAACCCAAAGCAAACAAGGCCAGTTACAGCAGTGAGAGCCATTCATCCAGATTCATGTTCTCACACAGAGCTCCACTGAGAACAGCAGGGATCCCCCCAGGTGCAGATGTATGCACATGTAGTTTTCAGTGTATTCTCTGGTAGGCATCTAATGAGTGAAATGGATATACCCTGCTTACCTCCTTTTGCCATTTACAGACTATGGCTTTGATCTGACAACATAAGTCTTTTCAGGATCAACTGAACTCAGTGGGAGTATTCATTCACTTAGCCATGGTCTACACTAGGGAGTTATTTGAAAATACCCTCCCTCTTTATTCCTAAATAATAAGTGGAACATTCATACTACCAAGCCCATTATTTCAAAATAATGGGCTGGTTATTTCGAAAGCTATACTCCTGCTTTCCTCAGGAAATAAGCTTATTTCAAAATAGTTATTGTAGGAGTTATTATTTCAAATGTAGTTATTTTGAAATCATTTCCTAGTGTAGACATGCCCTTAAAGTTAAGCATGCATGAAAGGCTTGGTCTACATTACCACAGTAAGTCAACTTAAGTTACACATCTCCAGATAAATGAATAACATAGCGTAAGTTCATTAATCTATACCACATTGGGTCGATACGAAATAGGGATGTAAAATCCCATTTAATCAGTTAACCAGTTAAACACTATGTTTAACTGGTTAATCACTTAAATGAGGGTGGGTAGAGGGCTGCTCCTGCCTGGCTGGACTGCCAGTTAACTGTAACTGGTTAACCATTCACATCCCTAATGGGAGACACTCTCCTGTCGACTTACTTTACTGGGGTGGAGTACTGGAGATGACTGGATCCAGCTGTCTTGTAGACATAGCCTCAGGCAGCAATGGAAAACCAAGACTAGCAAGGGGGCACAAGAGTGGCTCTCCTTTGTCTCAGTAGGCTGCAAGATTGAAATCTAGTGGTGGGCAACCTGCAGCCTGTGGGCTGCATGTGGCCCATTGGGGTTTTACCTGTGGGCAGCCCATGCATCCCCGCTCTGTCCCCTTCCCCCAGCTTCTTGCTCACTGGGACACTGGGGCCCTGCATTTACTTACTCTTCTCCCTCCCTCCCAGAGCCTGAACACTGTGAATCAGCTGACTTGCATCATTCGAGCTCTGGGAAGGAGTGGGAGGAATGGGAAGAGGGCACAAATCAGATGACTCATGGTGCCTGGAAAGTGCTTGGAGGGGGTGGAAGAGTAAGTAAGTGCGGGGCTCAGTGCCCCGGTGCACAAAAGGCATGGGGGGTAAATGGCAGAGAGGGGATGCTCAGGCCACAGGTGGAACCCTCCTGCCCACCACTGGCCTAAGGCTCTGAAAGTCAAAGCCTATGATTCTGGTATATAATGGCCAAAACATGACTACTGACAGAACAATATCCATAAGAAAGCAAGGAACTTTGCTACCCTCATGATAATTGACATAATCTTCCTTGGAAATCTCTAAATATCAGTCTTAATTATTTCTCACTATTTAAAACAGGATTGCTGAGGGAATCCTGATTTACATCAACTGTCAATAAGATGGCTGGCTTTTAGAAATGAGCTGGCTAGCAAACCTTCCTTACTCTCAGGTTCCACCTAGTTAGCTGTCCTATTTATGGCAAAACACTTCTAACAGCAGAATTTCAAGGCAGCTCTTTCAGGAGTAACATAATTTGTATAATACTACATTGCCATTTCTTTTTCAGCAGATGTTTCTTCAGAAACTGTAAAGGGAACATCAGGGCATCCTACCCACTTTGTTGGATGGGAGTGGGCAGCAAATCCAATTGCAGGTTGCTAAACACCACTATGCTGAGAGATAATGGACTCTTGCTTAGAAGGTTCAGCTCCATTTTGGTTGACATTCAGCTACTGCTGGCATTGGTTTGTGTCTGAGGCACTTATCTGGTGCCAGAGCTTTCATGTTATTAACTGATCAACAGTGCAGCAGTGAATTTATTGATCAGATAATAATGTTAGGAACAAGAAGAGGAGCACCTTTTATCCATAAGCCTTACAGTGCTTTGCAAACATCAATTTTACATTAACAGACGGATTGCAGTTAAGGCATAGCCCAGGAGAGTGGCAAGGACAGAAAAATCTTGCTCCAGGAATGTTCTGGAAGGCACAATGTGCCACAATGACATGCAGAGCTCCTGCGAGCATAGATATTGGGCCATTCCTCAGGGCTTGCCTACACTACAGATTGTGCTGGTGTAACTTGGTATGGAAACGTAAATAAGCCACACCCCTAAGTGCCGTAGATTACAATGACCTAAGTGCCAGTGTGGACAGTGCTAAATTGGCACAAGAGCTTCTCCAACAGACATAGCTGCCACCTCTTGCAGTTTTATTATGCTGATGGGAGTGCCAAAGCCCGAGCCCCACCACCTGGGGCCCAAGGCCTAATAGTGGGGTTCACATTACAGGCCCCCTGTCTGGAACTGAAGCCTTTGGGCTTTGGATTTGCACCTCCTCTCCACAGCCAGATGTGTTTGCATTATGGCTACATACATCTGTGATGGCAGAGCCATTAAGGCATTGGAGCTGAAATCCAGTGGAGTTTTCTTGCTCAGCTTTGAATCATGTGTTTTAGTTAAGCCCTGCAATAAATTGCCTAAGGAGGTTGTGGAATCTCTATCATTGGAGGTTTCTAAGAGCAGGTTAGACAAACCCCTGTCAGGGATAGTCTAGAGATAATACTTAGTCCTTCCTCAAGTGCAGAGATCTGGACTTGAAGACCTCTTGAAGTCTCTTCCAGCTCCTATGAACCTATACGTTACAGGTATGAGTTCCAGGCTCGTATACACGTTCTTGTGCAAGTTCTCATATAAATAGCACTATAGCTACAGTAGTGGCAGAGGAGGCACAACTGAGCCAAGAAGATTATGGGCCCACATGAAACTGGTGGATATGAGAGCTAGCACAACTGTAGTTACATGAGCAAGGGAATCCCACCTCTAGCTCTCAATGAAGATGTTCCTTAAATGTTCTGGCCAAATTCTGCCCTCAGATCAGTAGCAACTCTAGAGTTAGACAAGTATAAAGGAAAACAACACTGAAGCCTCTTTCAGGGCAGGATTTGTCCCATATTAATTTTGAAAACATAACATGGCTGGATGATTAATTGAGCAGTTGGAACATCTTTTCTGCACACTCGCTAGGTCAAACTGAGCCTTACACAGAGGCACAAGGCTATGCCTCACTTCAGTCCCACTTAAGCCCTCCCCTTTGATCTTAAGTGGCGCAGGTCTTGTTCTTGGGGTTGACTTTTACCTTTAACTGAAATGCTATATTTAGAGTTATGGAACATTTTATGCTGATTCTGTATCTCTCTGCCTGTCAATCTGTCCTGGGCCAGCAATGTGAGGATGCTGTCTTTTATTCTTTGGTGTCAATACTTACTGGAATTCTAGCATCTTGGCAATAATGAACTTTGATTTGAATTAAGGTTCCTAGGTTCACATGCACTTTATGGCCCCTTCACATTGCCAGTGCAATATAAATGGGCCTTAATATAAGTGATAATCAAGCCCTTTGATTCCTGTGAGCAGAGCAGTACTAAGTAGGTGTTATTATTGTAGTCAATTAACTGATTATCCTACAAGCAAAAGCCTACAGGTTAATGCTATAGACCTGTGGTTCTCAACTGGTGGTCCATGGTGACTTTTTTGGTAGTCCACAGGAACATTGTCCAAAGTCACACTGCATGAGCAGGCGCCACCATTAGGCTGTTTTACGCTGTGTTCACAAGCACACGGCACGTCATCCATAGCACCACGTAGGATGCAACCACGTTGTGTTGCTAGTAACTTCCGTCTGAGGCTCTGAGCGTCAGTGTAGCTGCTGCCATCGTGCTGACTGGTTGCTGTGTCGTTCATCCTGTGCTACGTGTGCTGGAGGTGGTCCACGAAAATTTTTTGATTGGCCTGGTGGTCCGTGGACTGGAACGAGTTGAGAACCACTACTGTAGACCATACAAAGACAGGGGCTGCTGCCATCCTGTGCTGCTGCCTCTGATACAGAAGCAGCTGTACAGGGGACAGGCAGCCGGAGCTGGTTGTTAAATTGGCTCTCCTCGTGGACCAGCTCCCGCCTGGCACCCCACGCAGAGTGGCAGGGGACTCCTCGAGAGTGGGGCCAGAGTGCTCTGTCAGCCCCACCCCTGGGGACTACAGAATACTTGACTAACCAATAAGAATTCATGAGGTTACTCGACTATTCAATTAACAGATATTTAACATCCCTAATACTAAGATAAACTCTTAAACATACCCACACGGTCTGGCTGCATGAGCGCTGTCCCTGATGAGTGCGGAAACAAAGCCAGAGTATCCCTTGTCATCCCGCTCAAATGGATGGTGTTTCCTTGGAAATGAACTCCATGCATGTCCGTGAAAGTGCCTAGGCCAATCATATGCCAAGAGACTTTGTCATCCTTGCACATCACCAATCCTGGCAGATTACCAAACAAGTAGCCATTTACAGCTGTAGGAGAAGACAGTTCGTTTAGTAGGATGTGTTGTAATTCTGCAAATATTCACTAGCATATCTAATCAGGGAACTCTGAGGGTATGTCTACACTGCAAAGTTAATTTGAAATAACAGCCATTATTTCGAATTAACTTTAATAGCGTCTATACATGCAAACCACTATTTCGAAGTTAATTAGAAATAGCGGCACGCTTAATTCGAATTTGGTAAACCTCATTCTACGAGGAGTAATGCCAAATTCGAAATAGCTATTTCGAATTAAGTGCTGTGTAGACACTCAATTCAAAATAGGAGGCCTCCAGCCCTTCCCAGGGAGCCCTGGTGGCCATTCTGGGCACAACCAGGAAAACTTACTCTCCTCTCCCCCAGCCCCGGAGACATTAAGGGGGTAGACTCTGGCCAAAGTGCCTGTGCCAGCTCCAATCCTGCCAGCCCAGAGCCAGCAGTGGCCATCAGGACCCCGACCCAGTGGCCCCAAAACATGAGCCTGCAAGCCACTGGCAGCCAGCCTTCCACTGCTCCCCAGAAGCAGTCTAACTGACAGGGGCTGGAGAAGGCGGGTGCCTTCCTGGTCCAGGTTGGAGATCATCGACCTTATTCAGGTTTGGGGGGGATGCCCCAAATGTCCATGATCTCTGCACTAGATGGAGGAATGTGTCCGTCTATGGCAGGATAGCTGCCAGCCTGGCCACCAAAGGCCACATGCGAACCCGGGAGTAGGTTTGCATGAAAATCAAGTTGGTCCAGCGAGACCCCCCAACCCTGGGCCCTGAGCTTCTCCTCCCCCTTCTTCTCCTTGCTTCCCACTTCCAGCCCCCTTCTCCCAGATTTCCCCCTCTCCTCTCTCACCCTCTCTCTTCCCCTCTCCCACCTCCTTTTCCCAGCTTCCCAGAGGTTCATTCCCCCCCAGTTTTGTTCAATAAACCCAGTTTCTATTTTTGAACATACGTGTCTTTTGTTTGACATCAGGAAGGGGGCTAGGGTGGAGTAAGTGGAAGGACGTGAGGGAGGAATGGGGCAAAAGCCCCCGGTGGTGAGGACCAGGGTGGCTCTGAGGGCTCCTTGGGGCGGACACTCTCCCACAGGGCCTCCTGGATCCTGACAGCCCCCCGATGGACTCCCCGGACGGTAGCCTGCAGCAAGTGCAGCTGGGCTGATGGCAACAACCCTACGAGACGCACCGGTGTGCCCAGGGGCAGCTCTGGCTCCATGTGGCTGAGTGCTGTGGTGTCCCGAGTGCAGGCACTCAGGGCACTCCAAGACAGGACTGCTTTGCTGTCCTCATCGAGGTAGACAAGCAAGCGGGGAACCCTGTGAACTATCTGTCTGGGGTGGGGGTAGGATCCCTTTAAGCACGGAGCTCAGTTAGCCTCAGGAAGCAGCCCCACACACTAAGTCTTAACCTGATCCCCTGCCGGCACTGGTTCCAGCCAGCCTTAACTTCGGTTCAGGGTCCACTCAGTGTGAACGCACTATTTTGAAATAGCAAAACACTATTTCGAAATAGGTTTTGTGTGTAGATGCGTTAATTCGAAGTAGCTTAATTCGAATTAACTTTTTCGAATTAAGTTAACGCAAATTAATGCTGTAGTGTAGTCATACCCTGACTGAGTATGTCACATTAATTAACTGGGAGAGGCCTGCTGCGAAGTCTGCACAGGTGATATCTATCATCATCAAGTACAGAAGATTAGTTGCCTTGACAAAAATACATCATCAAGTACAGAAGATGCTGTTCCTATAACTTCATGTCTAGGTATCTGAGCTATTTCTAGATTTCATGCTTAGTTTCTGAAATGGGATCTCTTAATAATTCTTTACACTGTGATGGCGGTTTCCAAAGTGCTTTCCTACCATTAATTAAGCCTCCCAACAGCGCTACAATTCAGGCAAGTGCTAATGTACTGCTGGTTAAAGCAAAGAAGTGAGCATAAGACGACCTAGGTTATTGTCTCAGCTGTGACTCAGTCTTCCTATATGACCTAGACCAAGTTACTTAACCTTACTTTGCTTACTATCCTTTTTATATAATGAGGATAGTAATCCCTATTTATTTCTTAGGAGTGGCATTGGACTTATCTCAGTAAGATTTGTAAAGCACTTTGCAATACTTGGACAAAAAGTATCATATCAACATAAAGAGTTATGAAGAGAGACTGCCTCAGGCTTGAATAATTAAATATAGTCAGCTCAACAAACCCATTTCTGAGCTTATGGTGTAAGAATGGCCACACTGGGTCAGACCAAAGGCCCATCTAGCCCTGTCTCTGACAGAGGCCAATGCCAGGTGCCACAGAGGGAATGAACAGAACCGGTAATCATCAGGATATCCCACTCCTGTCATCCATTTCCAGCCTCTGACAAACAGCGGCTGGGGACACAATCCCTGTCCATCCTAGCTAATAGCCATTGATGGACTTAGCCCACATGAATGTATCTAGCTCTTTTTTGAACCCTATTACAGGAAATGGATTAAGACAGGAATAATTCATCTAAACTATCTGATGCTGTTAGACACCACATATACAGTAAGGAACAATCTATCCTTCATAATTAATTGATGTAACATGAACAGTTGACTGTATAAATGTAATAAATTATTTTCATTTTACAGACAGGGAAACTGAGGCACAGAGAGGTTGAGTGAGTTGATCAAGATCACACAGCTAGTCAGTGTGGGCCTGAAATTATGCAGGCAAGTGTCTTGGGCCGATTAGGATAGTGCTAAGAGACAGATTCTGATCCCCTTACACAGACTGAGATGCAGAATGAGGTCGTATTTACTGCAATGGGAGCAAAGTACTATTAAGTATGAGTTAGGGAATCAGAATCTGGCCCTACATGAGGACAGCCAGTCCTAAATTCCAGAGCACATGCCCTCATAAAGAAAAGCACTATAACAGCAGCAATGAATGACAGCTAAATTTGGTAAATCTTACAATTAAAAGGCAGTCCCCGGGTTACGTACAAGATAGGGACTGTAGGTTTGTACTTAAGTTGGAACTGGCATCCAGATTCAGCCGCTGCTGAAACTGACCAGCGACTGACTACAGGAAGCCTGAGGCAGAGTTTCTCTGCCTCGGGCTTCCTGGAATCAGCTGCTGATCAGTTTCAACACCAGCTGAATCCGCCTGGGACAGATCAGCTGGGGTGCTGCTGGGTAGGTCTCCGCAGCGCCGCACCTCAGTGCTGCGGGGACCAACCCGGCAGCACCCCAGCTGCTCTGTCCCAGGCGTACCCAAGTCAGCTGCTGCTGAAACTGATCAGGGGCTG